AGACACAAACTGAGGACAATATTTTTCTGATATACAGGGTTTATTTAGTTGTCTGAAAATGTAACACATTTAAAAAAAATACCGTGATAATACTGAAAACCGTGATAATTTTTGTCACAATAACCGTGAGGTTAAATTTTCACACAGTGAAAACCCTAGTCATGAGTAAAAATCGTTCACCCCACCTCCCACGGGGTTTACCCCTTCCCCTGCACTTATGAGGGGCGCACCCACTTTCTGTCATGGAGCTGGCATGGGAAGAAAACAACACTCATATGGGCTGACTCAAACCACACTGAACAGAGCTGTTTAAGACTGAGTAGTGCTCCTGGAAAAACACATAAACAATGAAGTAAAGTACTAGCCTAGTGAACTAGACCAAATTCTTGCTTTGCAAAGTTTGTTAAATAATACATTTGTTTAGTCTGGCTTGCCAGGCTAGTAAAGTACCAGAACGGACCACAAGCTGTGGATCTATCGGACGTTCATTTATAGTCAGGAGTTTATCAGTACATCCTAAAACCTGAGTGGTGTGTGCTAGTTTTTCTCTCTTTCAACAAGGCGCTTGCAAGCTGAAGCTAACAGCTAGCTGGTGCTAATAAAGGACCGGCTTACCGTGGCTCTGCCGTAGCGTTGCTGTGACCAGTCTTTAAATAATGCTGACGCTGAAGTGGGTTGGAACATGTAGCTGTAGCAGGAGTGGTTACACTGCAACGTTACTATAAAAGCTTGCTCTGAAAAGGAGATTTTCTCACCTTTTCAACTTTGTAATTTACATAAAAAGTAGGTCACACACGGCTTTGACATGATACATTTGACTAGGCTTGGGCGGCATTACGGTACAACCATATACAGCTAGAGTTAAAAAATAGCAATGTGTCAGTTCCAAAACTGTTATGAAACAAAAAGTACACATAGGAGACATGGTTTAAAAAATAAAAGCAAAAATTAATAAAAAAAAAAAAAGATAAGTAAAAATCATTTAATGTAAAAGAAAACAAAAGTGTGGTTGAATTTTCATTTTTACTTAAATAGTTTAAAATGTTTTGTCCAACTTTTGGAGACTTATAAACTTAAACTATAAACGTGACAGCGTGGGGGACGGCAGCTCGCGCACCAGCTGACTTGGTGTCTAAAAACAGCACACACACAACTTCTGCAGTATTGGGAGTATTTCTGGTTGGAAGGAAACTTAAAAGGAGAGCCGGTAAACACTGATGAGGTAATTTGTGCAAACAAAAGACGACAGCGAAAGATGCAGGCCCTGTTGGAACCGTGGAGGAGCAAACCGTAGCAGAAAAAGCACCTTTCTGTCTGAAGCCTATTAAGAGACAACAACACGCTGCCAGCCTTCCCCAGATGTCACGACTAGCATCAAAGTACCTGTATGGCGGTGCCACAAGCTCATCAAAGCGGGTTTTCAGCAGTCAGAGATTAAAGCCTGAAAAAGTATACATGCTGGTTTTTCCAGGTAAAAAAAATCATTTTATAAGCTGCGTTTTTTAAAAGTTGTTAATATTATGTGTGTTAGGTTGTATTCGTTTTATTAACAGGGGTGGACCGTTAAAGCGCCCGAGCGCCATTGGCGCTAAATTTTCTCGTCGGGCGGTAAATACTTGACGACTTACCGCCTGGGTGGCGCCCAAGCTTTATTTGTCATTTACACACCGGCTTTCGCCTACATCATGGCCCCGCCCTGTAGGAAGCTGCCGTTTTCGTTTCGCGCACGTGAACCTGCGCGCCTCTAGCCACCTACTGCACTTGTACGATTCGTGCACGTACTGCACGATTATTTATAGTCACGTGAACTATAAGTCACTATTAAAGACGAAGTGGAACCACGCTAGAAACACACAAGCACGCAGGAAGATCGCGCCACCACTGGGATTGGATTTCTTGATGAAATCTCCGGCAAAACGCTTTAAAACTGGTGAGGAGAAGCGAGACAGTTCGAAACGGTATGAAGCAGAGAAGCGTGTGCGTAGGTGGAACGATTCTTGGCGGTTTAAAGAAGACGGGAGGCACAGAGAATGGCCGTGTTCGAGTTGAGCAGCGCCTCGCCTGGAAAACAAACGGAAGCAGCAGGGGGAGTGGCTGAAAGCCGGCGTTTACGCCGGGGACACACCGGCCGCGGAAGCGCCCGAAGCGAATCGCTCACGAAGTCCGGCCGCTGCTCGCCGCTCCTCAGTTCAGATCAGACGCGCCCCATTCGAGGCGCGCCTCGGCTCCGCTGTGGTTTTTCTTTTAACTACCTGGTGTCCTCAATTTCCTCTACATGTGTGTGTGTGTGTGTGTGTGTGTGTGTGTGTGTGTGTGTGTGTGTGTGTGTGTGAGTGTGAGTGAGTGAGTGAGAGGAGAGAGAGAGAGACTATGGTGTGAACCAGTTGTTTCTGCCAGTTGAATCTCTTGGACTTCCCTACATGTGTAGCTCGGGGGTGACGATGGATGAAGATATCGTGTTAGCATACTTGTTCAATTTTCAATTTTAATTCTGGTGCCTGTTAACAGCTGAAACCCATCCTCACGTGCTTGTGGATGTCATATATTGTATATGGAGACATGACTGTAATAATAAGTAAAGGTTAGCAGCTGTAGCTTCAGTGTGCTCATAGGAAACGTGACAAAAGAACACAAAACACATTCCTCTTTATGGCCTATATTGTTGTCATCATCAACGTAACATGATTTACAGAATACATGTGACCAACTAACATTTAATGTTCTACCACCGGATGTTTGGATCAAAATATGAACCAATCAGATCTTTGATCAGGTGAGAGCCAGGTGTTTCCCATCATCCTCTAGGTTTTGCAGCCAAGGGAGAGCAACTGCAGCGCCTTGCTCCAAAATCTGCGGCCGCCTTGATCTCACAAGGTTATCGTTGCCTACGTATGCATGACGTCAGAGCAAGTCGGCGTCAATTCGGACACAAATCTAACCGGCATGCACTGCTCGCCGATCACCGCTGGTCTACTCTGCGCAGAACTGGCTCATCTCGAACACAGCCAAAGGCTCGAGTACAGCAAAGTGGAGTTGGTGATGTACTGCGTTGTATGCTGGAAGTATGCGAAGACAAAATTGTGTTTTGTTGAGGGAACAAAAAAATTCAAACTTGAATACGTTATTATGTTTGTGAATGTGTACAAAATAAAGGTTTATTACATTTAAAATGGTTCAGTTGTTATTTTGACTCGTTTTGGCAGCTGACCAGCGGGGCCGGTAGATTCTTGGCGGGGCCGGTAAATATTCAGAGTTACCGGCCCGGCTGGCCGGTTGGTTTTGAAGTTAATGTCCACCCCTGATTAATGGTGTTTGTTATTCAGTTTCTGAACAGTGAAGGTCCAAACAAACAGCTTAGTAATGTAACTTGTGACTTACATCGGAATTTCTTTAATTAGCCCCGGTAATGCCATACACCTTGGTCAAATGTGGAGGAAGCTGGACGGTATAAAAATTTGGATACCGCCCAAGCCTAGTTTTGATCACCCAAGCTGTCTTTATTCAACAACAAGGAAAATGTTGGTTTACTTTCTTGGTCCCCTTTAACATCTAGACATTTTTCTGGGTCAGTGCAACAGGTCACTTTTTAGATGCTTCTACTGGAACCAGAGACCCACGATACCGGAAGAAACGAGATTATGCTAAACACCCGTCACTGTTTTCTATGTCCAAACGTCTTTTGTTGTCCATGACTTCAAATGGTGTTTTTCTTTTTGGGAATCTGGTAGTTTGCCCTAAAGTTGTTGTGGTAGCAGCTGGCTGTTTCTCCCTCTCTGATATCATGGAGCGAAGAAGCTCTCACACCAGTGATATTCTGTTGCTAAATACGCAAATGCGTAAAGAGTGGAGGATCCTGGGAAGTGCGTTGGTTCAGCGAGACTGACAACTGGATGGTCCAATAGTTGCTTTTGGTTCGAAAGGTGGTATTGGCAAGGTTTTTAGACAAATGCAAGAAAACCACTTTAATTTTTTTAATCACAATATATTTATAGCTATACTATTTTAGAACATTGTTAAGAGGCATGCCATTGCAGCTTTAAATGCTAATTCACACCAACAAAAAATGATGGAAGTTCTTAAATCTAGAATATATATTTTTTTTTACCTTTTTCGATTGTATTCAGTGGATTATCCTCTCAGGTGAATCAAACTCAGGTTTGGCAAATGAAAGTTTTTACAATAACTTTTACATTTGTATTTGCCCTCAAACCAGATTTGGTGCATCAATACAATAAATCCATGACAAAGTTCCGATCTCCAGTGGACTGCATACTATTACTTTGTTCAAATTAAAGTGCTTTATCTCTTTAGACAAGACATTGTCTGCTTGTCATTAAGTCATCAGAAGTAATTGTGATAGTCACATCAGGCCAGTGTACTCACAATGCAAATCACCCATTTGTTTGTTTATATTTGTGGTACTAATTTGGGTTTAGAAAGCAAAATAAAAGACAGTATTTATGAGGAAAACGCTACTAGAACAAAGGCAATGAACATAAATAGTGGAAGTTGGACTGCAGGTGAGTGGGACCAGTGATTCCAGTTCAGCTGAAAACAAGGCTCTCACTGGAGCACCACAATTACAAAGTCTGATCTTAACACAAATAAAGAGTTGGGGATTAAATGAGGATTCTCACGTTATAAAGTTAAAACGATGTTAAATTACATGCCTCAAGCTCCAATCGAAAGTTAATTCAGCTGCTGCGGCTCAATGGCCTGAAGTTAACCAGCAGAGTGGTTCGTGTTAGCCTAGCATACCGCAAACGTCTAACACGACTCACATTATAAATTAAACCGAATATATCGACTAAAAAAGTGCCTTATGTAAACTTGATCAATTAAAACCTACTGATATTTGATTTTCTTTCATCAGTCAGTCGCGTTGACGCGTTTAAAAACACAACTGATTATCTAGCTTCGTGAAACATTTTGAGGCAGCTTGAACAAAACAAAAAACACCTACTTCAGTAACTTCCCCTGAAAAGGTAAACTTGGCGTACCTCTAAAGTCTTCTTATCTGTAACAGCCCCACTCGGCGGTGTCGATGTTGTTCAGTTTGTCCTCTGCGCCTCAGCCCATCTCCTCATATCCAGAACATGAATCTGTCTCCGTCACGCTGCGGAGTGGAGGCCAAAGATCGTTTGTAGAGAGATGATGATCACTCCGGAGAGAGAGGGGGGGAGAGAGAGAGAGAGCGAGAGCGAGAGAGAGAGAGAGAGAGAGAGAGAGAGAGAGAGAGAGAGAGAGAGAGAGAGAGAGAGAGAGAGAGAGAGAGAGAGAGAGACAATAAAAAGATTATAAGAAAAAATGACAAGTTATGTTCCCGTCTAAATTGTTTTCTATATTCCAAAAGTTAAAAATAGTTTGATGTCCCAACATTTTGTCTCTGTTTAGAACTAAGAATGTCTCAATGAGTACGGCAGCAGACCGTTGTAAAACATAATTCAAGACACAACTATTTTTTAGACTGAAGTGGAATAGTTTGTTCTTGCTGAAATTGTGCTTTTACTTGTCATAAAGTACAAGAACAGCTCATCTTGTAGAAATTCCGTTCTTTATTTAGCACAAATAAGCTAAATAAATCTGCAGGTTGACACAACTTTTGTGGGACTCAGGCAATAATGAAAGAGTTTAGGAAGCAGAAATGGGGCAGACAAGGAGATATCATGGAGACAACATTCTGAACTAGAACAAAAGAGATTGTTGTTACATTTACAGTCAGGGTGGAGCAGTGGCACCCCCAGATAAGTTTTGTAGGGGTGGCCACGGAACCAGAGAAAATTTTAGGGTGGCACACCAAATTGATTTTCGAGGTAACTCAGGGACGTTTTAGCCTTTAATGATGCAATAAATGTTTCTTTATTAATTTTCATTAATAAACAATAACATTACTATGACTTATTAAAAAACACTGGTCTTCCCTGGGTGTGGACAGTGGGCTGGCTAGCAATTTTCTAGTCCTCGGCCACCCCCTTGAGGGCACCGCTGGGGTGGAGCCCCCACTACAACACATGCTTACTGGGAAAAGACCTGCAGGAAGCAGCACGTTTAGGAGAAATTCAGTCAGAAAAGAAAAATTATTTTGACATGGGAAGAAATGTTTAATGCTGTAAAAACGACCATCTGTAGACTGAGATATGTTAATGTCAGCTTAAAATAACTGGAATGACGTGACGTCATAATTATTTATTATATGACAAACTTTCTTGCCATACAGTTGAAAAGGCGCATATGTGCACATCGCAGCAATAATTTAGTGACACCTAGCGGGAAAAAATTGAATCACCTCAGGTTTCTCTTTCTCATATTGAGTTTTCAACGATTTTGCATTGTTAGAAGTCTGTGATGACTTGGCATGTTATTAATTTCTTTTAAGTAGTAACATTTGTAATATTGTTTTAGTATAGGGTGTAAACTTAATGTTGTTACCAGTTTGGGGGTGAAACTTGATGTAGGACTTAAATTTGATGCCCACATCAATTCTGTGATCCGGTCCAGTTTCTTTCACCTGAGACGCCTTGCTAAAATCAAGCATATGCTGTCGAGAGCCCACCTGGAGCGGGTACTGCATGCCTTTGTTATTTCTTGGCTTGATTACTGCAACTCTCTCTACGCAGGGTCGTGTCAGTCATCACTGCGTCGCCTACAGGTTGTGCAGAACAGCGCTGTCAGGTTCCTGGCTGGGACCAGGAAACGGGACCACATCAGTCCAGTTCTGGCCTCCCTGCACTGGCTTCCGATTTGCTATCGCTCACAATTCAAAATACTCTTCTTTGTTTATCATTTCTTCCAGGGTGGTGCTCCCCCCTATCTGGCCACTCTCCTGAACAGACACTCCCCATCACGCGCTCTGCGCTCCTCTGACCAAGGCCTGCTCGCTGTCCCTCGGTCTAGGTGTCGTACCCGTGGGGACTGGACTTTCTCAGTCCTAGCACCGTTACTCTGGAACCAGTTGCCACCCTCAGTTAGGCTGTCCCCTTCTCTGCCAGTCTTTAAGAATCACCTAAAAACACACCTCCTCCGCTTGGCGTTTCCAGATCATGTTTGATTATGGCCCTCTGTTATGTTGAATCCATTCCACAGTTTTCATTGGTACACTCAATCCATCCACTCAATCCATATGTGTTTCACACATTTGTCCTTTACCGGACTGTTTCATCTATCTTGTAATTTCCATTTTGTACTTTGTAATTTGTATTTTGTAATTTGAATTTCTTTTATTGTTGATTTATTCAATATATTTACTTAACTGTACCATGTTCAGCGCTTTGGGCTTCCTGACAGGGTTGCGGAAGGCGCTTTATAAATAAAGCTTTGATTGATTGATTGATTGATTGATTGATTGAAAACTGGAGAGATTTGAAGAAACAAGGCAAAACAAAACAAAACATTTTCCTCACCCTATTTGGTATTTTGTTTGTTGTTGTTTTTTAAAGATATTAGATGTCTGTCCTAAACCCACCAGCTGAAATATTCAAAAGGTCTTTAGAAAGTGAAGCTGTGTAGGCAAACAACAGGAAAAAGTCTGAAGACAAGGGAGAGCTGTGGGAGTTTTCAGGCTGATGCTACTGTTTTTATTGGGGGTTGGCGTAGAAGATAGCCATGGAGGATGAGGAGAGGGACACATATCTGGAGATCAGGCTGTTGAGCATTCCCTGGTTCCGTTCTCAATGTGACACTAGGCATGTCTCCATTACCAGAACTTCAGGGTAGTTCCTGGGATAGGGAACTTGACCAGGAGATAGGATGTCCCATTCCTCTCAGCTGTTGTGTCTCCATTCAGCCCTTTCAGAACTTCCACAGACGTCGGCATATCATGACTACTTTGGCAGTGAGTGATGTCACTGATCAGCCCCAAAAAGCACCCAAAGTAACATTAATAATAATTAAAGCATTTATTTTATAGAAGTATATCATAATTTTAATCCATTCAGAGGACAAGAGCAGCTCTGACTTTTGTGAGACAAGCCCCGTTAATTAACTTTGTATGTCATGACTCTCATTTTTCTGCCTTCATTCAGCTCACCTGGTCCCTCACCAAGCTCTTGACAAGCCCTGTTTCCCTGGCAACCACCATCAAGTCATGGATTTTATCAATAGGTTTATCAATAACCCATTTCCTATATTCGGAGAGAAAAAGGAGACAATGAACAACAAGTCAAGCAATTATAACTGTGGCAAGATGCTCGAGGCAAAATGCACCGAACATCTGGTCACAGAGTTTATTTATAGAGAGAGAGATTGAGTGTGTGTGTGGGAAGTCAAGAATGTGTGTGTGTGTGTGTGTGTGTGTGTGTGTGTGTGTGTGTGTGTGTGTGTGTGTGTGTGTGTGTGTGTGTGTGGCTTCTGTGGTTGTGTCTGAATGAGTGAGCAGGCAAAGAGGCATAGAGCAATACATTTACATTCAGTTGATTGAGTCAATGATCAAGAAGTAATAAACATAAAATTTTCAATAACACACGCGTAGAGGGGTAAATATTGTTGCTTTTAAGCTTAGGATATTACCTTTACTTATGACCAATAAGATGTGATATTCTATATAAATATAGGACATCAACCTTATTGGTCTTTGAATGTTGAATCAGAAGATTCAAGGGTTCTTTACTTTTTCAGTGATCAAACACACTTTGTATTAATTCAGACAGAGTCACGTTTACAAAAATTGAAAAATTTATTTTCTAAACAAATTAAAACGTGACAACTATGAACAAGACGAATGTGATGGGTGAATCTAAGTGGATGGAATTTGATGTATGATGACTGAATGGTGAACCTTGTATCTAGAAGAAACTGAGTTCTGGGTGTTAAAAGAATTTGGTATGCATTAAACTAACAAAGTTGGTTCTTATCAAAACGGCATCAGACACAATCTTGTCGTGCCTATGTACCCAGATAGGAACCCCTGTGGTAGATCCAGAATGTCGGGAATCTGTGTGGACCCCCAGGTACCGAAGTCCGCAGGATCAACCGCAGTACCACTAGACCGGTCTCGAGTTGTTCCCAGGTCACAACAAACAGGTTGGTTGCGTCTAAGACGGATGTTTCTGAATAGCTGAAGGAACCATTTTGCTGTGTCAGCTGCAGCGGGCAAGGTTTTGACAGCTTGTCAAGAGATGCAGTGGTTACAGAGTTTCCCTCGGTGGCCAGTCTGGAGTTCTGCTCAAAACTAGTGATTCTGTTTTAATGTTCCCATATTATGATTACATGGCCAATCAGGACAAAAGAGGTTATGAGGTGTTTAACAAACAAACCTCAGAACACACGTCTTTTCCAGATACAAGAATGTTCTAGTTCTGTGGATAAAGGATCTTTATGTGCAGTGACGTTAACTTTAATTTATATCTTATGAACATTGTGTATTAGTGTAGATAGTGATTCACCTGTTAAACCAAACATTACTGATCATAAAACATCAAAATGTTTCATTGTAACCACAAAATTCATTTCTACTTCATTGAATTAGGTGTAACCCAGAAGCTAGAACCTTAATGAGGTATTAACTAATTGGCTTACTAATATGATCCATCCTCAATTTAGATAAAATATAAAATATAAATTAAGGAAATTAACAATACTAATTAATAGATATCTAATTAACTAATAGATAATTTCATAATGAATTATTGGAAGGGTGAATAACTAAAATAACGAGTTTAATATTAAACATCGGTTAAAACAAGAATCTTGAACATCCCTAACAGAAACAGAAGAGGAAAGCTGTATACTATTGGTCCAGGTGGGAATCTGAAATTTCATTGGCTGAGAGAAATAAGTCCCGCCTCCGCGAAATAAAACCGTGCGACGCAGCTGAGCGAGAGGAGAGACAAACGGCTGTGCAGCACGCAGATACAGAAAGCAAAGACTGAGCGGTTAGAGAGAGAGAGAAAAAAAAACAACGGTCGAGGCCGTGAAGAACCCCGATTTGGGTGCCGCATAGATAGAGGGAGAGGCGGACTTGACTCCTTCTAATAAGAGCTAGGAACTTGGAACCAACGCGGTGAGTAAAGAAAAAAGAAGAGAAAAAGCTAACGATGCAACTTTAAAAAAAAAAGGAAACTTAAATAGCTTATCAAATTAATTCCATTCTTATAGATTTGTGTGGAGACGACAGAGTGAACCAATCCTCTGTAGGAGGGAACCGTTGGAGCGCG